TTGGATAGCTAATTAGGGAGCTCCTCCCAGGGGAAGACTGATACCCTTCCTCTCTCATCCGATCTTATCTATGGCTCTTCCATAGGGGTGGGATGAGGCTTTGTGAGACTTCCGCCATCCATGTTGCGATGATGTCAGGGATGTTGTCCTTATTCAGCTCTTGTTTAGGCAACACTGTTGTTAAGATTTCACGAGTGTAGCTCCCCTTTCATATACAGAAGATGTAAACCTTTTAGGAGAGATCCTGGGCCTCTTCTCTCCTGAAATGTTCTCTACTGGGGCTGTGTACTCAATGATCGGATGTTCTCTGCATTTGACCAGCTATGGTTTTCAGTATTGGCTTCACCTGCTGCCATGACAGGTTTCTTTGATAAAGGATGCTATTTTACATACTCCCGTGGGCAAAACGATAACTGGGTAAAATGAAGTTAGAGATGACACTGGTTTAGGGCCGTGGCTGTCGTATGTTCTCTAGGTTCTATGGCCTCACCTGTCATGAGAATTTGGCTAGGTTTACAGTGCCAGGCATGATTTCCATCCCATTGTGTAAGCCTTAAGTCTAATTAGACAACTGTTGGTTACCTCCCAATTGTGGCTGCCATTATAGCATCTTGGGGATATCTTGTCATTCTGGTTATTGTCGTTATTTGCAGGTGTCATAGCTGGGTAGGAATATTGATTACCTTCATCCTTTGGTGGCTTGCACGACACCTTCAGGTACTAAGAAAGCTAGTCCTCAGAGAGGAGGATTCTAGGTCATATTCAGCTCAATTCCTCCAAGTCCTATGTCTGAAGTATATTGTGTCTTCAGCATCAGGGTCTTTACCTTCAAATTCTGGGAGGCAACCAAGGACAATAGCAATACTCCACATTGTTTTGGTAGTCCTTTGAACTCTCCTGACCAACATCTCAAAGGGAGATTTCTCATGCCTGCTACTGGTGATTCTTGTTAGATATATACTATGGCTGTTGGGGATACCATTATCATTCCTAGTTGGGTACCTTCATTAAACATGCATGTGCACACGCACACATACACACTACATACTCACATATACGTATACATATTATATGTAATTTTAGGCAGACATAAATTTATATGATTCCCTACGGCTTTTTCAAGCATCGTAGTATTATAAAATTATTATTATGGTGCTAGATACACATAAAAGTTCCATCTTAGCTACTGTAAGGTGCCCGGTAAGATGGAATACATCAGAAAACTAGTACTCATTACCACTCTCCATTTCCATGATCATCTTCTTGTAAAGCTGAAACCCCCTGTCCATCCCTCTGCCCATTACCCAGTCGCTCCCTAGCTCTGCCCCCTCAGCGCCAGAAGCCACTCTTCTTCTATCCGCTGTTGGGATTTTGATTGTTCTATTTCATGTAAGTGGGAGACTGTATTTGTTTCGTTGTGACTGATGTATCATTTACCATGATGTCCTCAAGATTGATCTGGGTGGTAGCAGGTTTTAAAATGCCCTTCCTTTTGGAGGCTGAGTAGTATCCCACCGTATGGGTAAGCTACGTTTCGTTTATGCACTGATGGGAAACCAGTTGTTTTCACTATCTGATGTCAATGAATAAAGCTGCTATGAGCATTGCTTGCAAGTATCTCTCATACCTTACGTTCAGTTCATCTGTGCACATATTCAGATGTGGAGTTACTGGATCATATTTAATCCTGTTTTCAACTCTTTGAAGTTTTGATATTTTGTTTATTCAGTCTTGCCTACTACCCAGGGGCTCTAATGTCTCTACACACTGGAGGGCTTTCTTTCCTTCTCTCTCCGCCTCTTTTTGATAATAGCCTTCCTAAAGGTTATAAGGTGTATCTTATTATACGTTTGATAAATATTTTGATAAATACATGGACTTTTCTGATGATTAGTGATGTTGAGGATTTTTATGTGATTATAGTTATATTTTCATTTGTGATTCTAGTGTTTAATAGCTGAGCCATCTCTCCAGCCCTTATGTGCTTATTCTTATTGTCTATCTGTGCGTCTACTTTGAAGCTTTTGGATTAGATTATTTGGTGTGTGTATATGTACATGTTGTTGTTGCTTTGACTTTTAATAATTCTCTCTGTATTGGGGATATTAATCTCTTATTAGATGTATGGTTTGCATTTTTCTCCCATTCTGTAGAAGATTTTTTTTTCTGTTGATAGTGCTTTGATATAAAAATCAGAAAATTCATTTGAGTTTATTCCTTTTATTTTTAATACTGTATATTTGGTATATTTAATTTTTAAAAAACAGTTGACATATCTGACTGAGGAAGACTTCAGCTCAAATCTTCCCAAGTGTTTAATAGACTTTTTTAGTCACCTAGTTAGGACACTGAGCAAAAACGACTAGAACAAGATGTCCCCACTGTCTGGGGTGCACACTTCTGTGTCTCTTAAATTCACTCAACAGTGACAAATCTGACAGTTTTAAATGGTTTAAATTTTAAAGGAGAATCTCAGTCAAGCTTCTTACAACCTTCCATCTTAACAACTCTAAAAACAATGACACAATCAAAGTCAAGTCACAAACCAGATCTAATTAGTATTTATGATCTTATACGTAAAAGCAAATATGCAAATGCTTCTTAAGCTCGACTCAAAAAACCTTAATTTTAGAAAATGGACTCGCTTGGCCATTGTTGTGTGTGTGGATATGCAGCATGTTTATGTATACTTACCTGTATATGTCTATATGTGTGTGTACATGTGTGTATGGATCTGTGTATGTGTGTGTTAGTGTGGGTGGGGTTGGCAGCACATGCCCAGCGTGCACATGTGGGTGGGTGGGCCAGAGAGTCATTTTAGGTATTGTTTTTCAGGTGCTTACCTGGATCTGATCTGACACAGTTTCTGTGTCTGGGGATCTCTGATTCTGACAGACTGGCTCACCAGGAAGCCACAGGGATCCTCTAGACTCTGTCCCTCCAGTGCTGGATTTACAAGCGTGCGTGGATCATAGGTTGTATATCTCAGCTCCCCATTCCTGTGACTGAGCTGTCTCCCCAGCAATTAAATTTTAGTTGTGAATTTCCCAGATTGAATATTGGGGTTCCCAACAATGGGCTGACTTGGTTTGTGACTGGGATACACGTGTCTTAGGGAGAGCTTGGAGATTTGAAGTTGTAGCTAGGGATCCTGGGGTCACATGGGCGAAGCAGTCTTTTCCGTAGCACAGATGTGCTGAACCTGACTTTCACAGTGGCTGTAGTCATCCGTTCTCTTGGGGTGACCCTTGCACATTGTTAGCTGATGTGGGTGAGTCAGTTACTGACGATGGTGGGAGTGGGTGGGGGGGCGGGGGCTACCATACCTGCTTCATGCCTCATCTAGGTTCTGAGAGCCCTGGTGTATTTACTGCCTGCTTCTTATTCGTCTGGTCTGGCTGCTTGGCCATTGGATGCTCTCACTGCCTTGCATGGTCTGTTGTCACAAGTGACTGAGACTGACTGCAGCATCTCCTCTCCAAAGATACACCAGCCCACTCAACCTTTCACAGTGTGAACATGATGGCTTTTTGGTTTTTTTTTTTACATATTACATGTAATTACATGTAATTCCCAACCAGCCTCCCCCACCCCGCCCCACCTTATATTACCTTCTCTAAACTCCCTTCTACATAGAAATTATAAAATGCTGGAGTTTTGCTTTGAGCCCTTCTGTGGCCCCCAGTCCATCATGAGTAGAAAATAAAACCTTGAACACGGCCAGCAAGTCCCTGCATGCTCTATTCTCCCTCTTCGTGACCTCATCGCCCACGGCTTTCTTGCTCAGTTCTGACTCCAGCCGTACTGGCCTTCTTGCATTTCTTCCAACAGAAACCAAGACTCATTTCCGCTTCAGGACCTTTGCAGTGTTCCCATGGCCCCGGACACCAACTCCTTCACTCTTTGAGGAGCTTCCCAGTCTATAGGCCCCAGCTCTTGGCCTGCCCCAGAGAGGTTAATGCTTCTTCAGAAAACGTGGCACAAATTCTGGCTTTTAACTCAGCTTTCTGCATTTCTTTTCTACTAGACCATTCATTGCGTGGGGCCATATTTGGTATTTTGCCTACTTAATCTGTCCAGTGAATGAATACCAAGGTTGTCACATGATCATCATCACTCTGAAGTCATAATTACTGCAGAAATTCGTGTGACCGTTTTAGCCTCATGAGAATTGTTTTGTTGATTTGAGATATCTGAACGTCAATAACTTGCATTTGTGAAAGCGTTACCAAAAATCACTTCCATGGCCCTTTACATATTGGTTCTTCTAAGCCAGTCGTCCTTCTGTTTCTTGCCGTTTTAGCAAAGGATACCTTTTAAGGGCTTGTCTTGAATTTAGAAGGAGGTCGCTGATAGGTTTGTAGTTAGTAATTAATATTGCTTAATGTAGTTATAGGTTTTATATGCGACTTGTGGCTTTTTATCCCCGTCCCCCTTGGTATCTACAGAGAGGTTATTGTGGCTGTGCATTACCAAGACGCATACTGGAGATGGATGATGGCCTCTCTTCTAGATCTCATTGCCTTTCTGCCTCCTGGATGTCTTGCCAGGGCTTCCCGAATCTTAACCCTTTAAGGCCCTCCGACTGCTGAGCACAAGTCTCCACGAAGGCTTCCTATTGCTGGCTCTGCATCTTGTCACCCATCAGCATGGAATGCCACCTTTAAAATGATTGGGAACGTCTCGTTGTCACAGATGCATTAAAAAAAAAAAAGAAAAAAGAAAAAGAAAAAGAAAAAGAAAAAAAAAACCCAGCTCAAACGGGAAATGACAGATCACCTCCAGAGGCAATCAGGTTTATTCTCCTTGTTTATAGCTCAAAACGCATTTTTGGCAACCCAAATGGGGAGGTGAGAGTGGCGGATAAGGATGGGAGTGGCGGCGCGTGGCGGGGCTGGCGGCCAGGCCGGGCGCCTTTAACTCGGCGTGACCTCGCGTCTGGCCCGCGCCCCCTCCTCCGCGCGCACCGCTGTCCTGCAGCGATTGGTGCTTGGACCATAAACAGCTGTGCAGGGCCCGGCGGTGCAGAGGCCCCGGGCCCGCCAGCGCAGCCAGGCCACTGGGGAGTGACTTCCACTCGGGATCGCGGAGGGCGCAGGCCGTTGGCGCGTGGCAGTCGGCGTGGGCCTGGCGTCCCCGCGCCTTCGCGGCGCCCCGTGTCTCCGGCTGGGCGCAGGTGGGCCAGGCCGGGCGCCGCAGATCGGCGCGTTCCCACGAAGGCTAGCCCTCGGAGCGAGGGGGAGGGACCATCGGAAAGACGTGGAACGATCCGCGCGGTGTCATCCGCAGGGCCCAGGCCCCGCGCCGCCGCCGCCGTCGTCGCCGCCGCCGCCGCCGCCGCCGCTGGGGCTTTGCTGCGGGGATCCACGCTGAGCCTCCGCGGAGCCCCGAGATTAGCATGACACTGGGTAGCCGTCCCGCTTCCGGCGGTGCCAGAGCGCAGCGCGATAGTCCCCGAGCCGCGATGGCCCCGCGCGGGGGCCGATCGCCGGGCTCCGCAGCCGCCGCGGCCCGTGAGTAGGAGTATGCCTGTGGCGGGGGACCCACGCGTGTCGCCACGCGCCCCCACCCTCCCGCGCCCCCGCCAGCCTCGGAAGCCTAACGCCGCGCCGCGGTCGCCAGCACCCAACGGGGCTCTCTTCCTGCGTTGTCGCAGCGGGGGTCCCGGTGCTCCCGCGCGCCCCCCGTTCGAGCCTCTGGAATGAAGACTGCCTCCCGAGGACTGCGAGAGAGAAGCAGAGGCAGCGGGCGCCGGGGACTGCGGGCCTCGCGGTTGGGAGGTCCGGGGAGACGCGACTCGGACGCTGTCATCCCCACGCCTCGCGCTGAAGCCTCCTAGTGCGGTTGGGGCTGCCGCCCACCGGTCAAGCTGCCGGGGCGTGCGATCCCGGGTCGGCCCCCGGAGGCCTCGGCTTCCTCATTTGTTTGGGTCTTTTGTGCTGTGGCGCACAGTTGGCTAAGCACTCCTGCGCTGAATCGGTCCATTGTCTGCGCTCCCATTGCTTCCACGCTGCAAGTCTCGGCGCCCCCACCCCGGCCGCCCCCTCCCGGCCGCCGAGCCTCCCGACGTGCCTTCCCCCCCAGGAATCTGGAAGCTGGAAGCCCCGCGGATTGCAAATGAAGTGGAATGCATTGTGGGACGAGTGTAAAATCCGAGCCTTCTCCGTGGGGGTGTGGGGGGGCGTGGGGAGGGCCGGACCTGCCGCCGGCGGTGTAGACACCGACAAGAAGAGGGGGCTGGGGAAAAAAATGTGCGCAGAGTCCTCCCGGGTCCTGGCCTCGGTAGACGGATGAAGCAGCGCGCTGCGCCCTGGCGCTGAGGCCCCACTATCGGGGCACCAGGGTCGCCCTTCCCCACCATGAAGAAGACCCGGAGCACAACCTTGCGGCGAGCCTGGCCTAGCTCGGATTTCTCGGACCGGGCCTCGGACCGCATGAGGTCCCGCAGCGAGAAGGACTACCGCCTGCACAAGCGCTTCCCCGCGGCCTTCGCGCCCCAGGCTTCTAGGGGCTACATGACATCAGGTTGGTAAGCACGGTTCAGCCGCCGGCTGTGATCAGTGCGCCGCGGCCAGTTGGGGACTTGGGGTAGAGGACCTGCGGTGATGGATATGCCGAGTTACGGGGAGAGCAGGGAAAAATTAGTTCCCATCCACCATTTTGTACCTCTGTAAGATCCGCAGCAGGCCCTCTCAATATGGGGTTGGAGAGCTACTCGTTAGGTAAAATCGGGGAGGGGGAGTGAGCCGAGCATCTGGTCTGCAGGGAGATAGGGTGGCTGCAGCCTTCCCTGAGCTTTGTGAAAGGCGAGCCTGCGTTCAGGGTTGCCCGCAGTACCAGGTTCGCCTGTGCCTGCCTGCATTATGGCTAGTTACCTTAGAGGGTATTTAAACACCACTCCTCCCCCCCACCCCCACTAAAAAAAAAAAAAAAAAAAAGGAACAGATTCTCTGCACCGTTCTGGAGATTCGAGGCAGGGGAAAGCTCTGTCCATGTCTGTCTGAGGCTGGTTCATTTTGTACGCAGGAGCTATGCTGTGGAGCTCATTGAATGCTTGGGGAGGGGGTCGTGGCGTGTTTGCATATGGAACGCTCGCACGATTGTGCGTGGACTTAGCATAGGTTGCATCAAGTGCTGTTGGATGGAATGGAGGCTGTATCGTGTTTTGCATGCCGATGGGAAGGACAAACACAATGGTCCGTAGACTTGAAGGCTTCAAAACAGGTTTCTTGTGAAAAAGCGGTGACTGTTCTAAGCTTCCTCGTATGAGCTGGTTCTCTTTGAATCCCATTCACTGGCTTTGCTTCCTGGCTTGTGATAGTGTACTGGAGATGCTGAAGGGGGGAAATCCTGCGAACCTTGCATTTTGTGTTCCTTACAAGTAAGGGTGTGAAAACGTTTTCATTCTGGAAAGAATTTGCTTTTAAATGCAATGTAATGGAAGCGTATAGACTTTATTCGAAAACCAAATCACCCTAAACCCTGTCTTAACTGGGGAGATTGTTTTAAGCTTGTGGTTGGGACTTACAGTCAAGCTTCACTTTCTCCCCAAACAGCAAATCCTTTTAAACTGAGGTCAGTATCTCACAGTTTAAAAATGTACCGTGACCATGACTCCATTGCCAGAAAAGCCTCAATAAAAGTAACTATCCCTTTTATTGCAAAATCAGGCAACATAAGGATCTTGCATGCTATTCTAGCATTCACACTCCCTGTATTTTCTCTCTCGTGATAAACCGGATTTGAAAAGGAAATAACAACCACAGTTTATGCTTAAGTAATCTAAGTAGTGGCTGTGGTTGCTCTATTCTGTAGACTCATGACAGTCAATGTACTGCACACCTAGGTCCAACTCCTCCCTGGAAACATCATGTCCATAAGCCTTACGTACACAAGAGTGTTTAGCTGATCCCAGGCTTCCCTCATTTAGGGTTTTGGATGCTTTCACTGCATCCTCAGCAAGCCTCTCTTTCCTGCCCTCCACCCCCACCCCAGAAATCAGAATTGACACTAAATGCAGAGCTGTTGGAGGGCAGGTGGCTATCAGTTCTCTCACAAGCCTGCAAGACTCTTTAATAATGTCAGGCACACTCCCGAGGAGTCTATTTATATCCGTCACATCGTCGCTTCCTTGTGATCACATTTTCAGACTTTGCAAAAGAAGGTCCATGATTACCCAGTGCTATGAGACATTTTTTTTTTTTTTTGAGGGCACGAGGAAGAGGCTTCCAATTTTACATGATTCGCTCATTCCATCCCTCGTGGGACCTGCAGATGGTCAGGTGGTCTTCCTGGGATAATCTGTTTTGAGTTGGTGGTCCAATTCAACATCAGGTTACTGCTGAGAACAGAGGAGCCCAAGGAGAGAGCCCTGTCACTCATTCAGCATTTGATAGAGTGTTCCCTAAGACCAGTGTATTGCTAGATTCTTGTGAGGATGCAGGGTTGGACAGAACATGGCCTTTGCCTAGGAAGGAGAGCTGTTATTTATTGCTTTATTGTAAATGTCAGCTAGTCCATGGAATGAAAAGCAGATCTAGGGTTCATTGAAAGAAATAATGGATACTAAGTGTCTATCTGAGCTTTGAGAGGTCAGAGGACCCTTTCTCATATGTAACTTTTGGGATGCTTATTGCAGGAGAGGAAAAGTATCTTATAGTTTCCTTCCCCAAATTAGGCTCCTTTCAGCAAGTGGGAGGTGCTAGAAGCTGACGTTGTATGAGACCGGTGGAGATCATTTGGAGGAAGCTCCTCCTATAAGATGGGAAGCGGATGTACTTGTATCAAGTTGGTTGTCCTAGGTGCAAGCTTTGTTTAGTCGTGTCTCTAGCATGAACTAGGAAATGAAGTGGCTTAGAGACGTGAAAGCCTTTAACACCTCTTTCTGTTAGCTCAGTCATTGGCTTCACCATTTCCTGACTCCATTTTCAGTCAAGGACACTTTGTTGTAGGTAAATTATTCAGAGAACATGATAAGCCTCTTTAAAAAAATGTGCTAAAAAATCTACAATAGCTTCAGCTTGGGGGGACTTTTTAGAAATCCCTCCAGAAAATACGAAAATTAAGGGAAATAGTTAAAAACACATCTGGGAAACGAGAACAATCCCAGGACATTTTAAAAGAAATACACCCTGATAGCTATCCTGGGTTTAGCGCAGCTATCTAGCACACAGTAGGAGCATCAAGTAGAGGTGTAGGCACCATTTCTAACCGGCAATAAGTAGTCACCAGTGTCAAATGCGATTTATAGCAGGGGGCTTGACCTTTGGCCTTGTTTTTTTCAGCTTCCTTCAGGAGAAAAATTTAGGCTTCCAAGGTCAGAGCAGACACATAGAGTGCTGATCAGGTCTTGCAAGAAGACAGCTGTGTAGAAAGCTGAACCTTTAAGTTGTGAAGATCACGCTTTCTTTCAGTGTCTCTTTTCAGTTATCAAATCTAAAGTAATCCTAAGAGTCCCCAGCCTCCTAGCAACCAGGGAGTTCACGGGCCTGCAGAAGAGTTCACTGTTCCTCTTCCATATTCATTTCCCCAGTGCCTTCTGGGCAGGAGTGGGAGATCTTGCCTTTTGTTCGTTCAAACCAAGTTGAATATAAAATGTGCACAGCATTTCAAGAAGAAAGGGGGTTGGATCAAATGGCGTTGGGACCATCCTGCTTTATTTTCCCAGCACTGGAAATGGTGGTGTTAACTAGAGAGCAGAGTCAAACTCTCCACGAAAAAGGAACTCTGTAACACCCAAAGCCGAACATTTGCAGCCATGATCGTAGGCCACTGAAATGATTGGAGGGCTTCAAGCACGCTGTGGGCGAAGCCTTTAGAGCCTCCTCTGTTCTTGGTGAGCATCCCTCGAACCACTCATTCATAAGATGCCAGGCCTCTTACTTCTTTTGCTTTCCCCTTGGGCTGTGCTGAGCGTGGCTGATGCTTCATATTCCCACGTATAATGCTGCCAGGATTGTGGTGGGGAGTCTCCTATGGATCAGGATTGCAAGTTAACTTTTCTAGTCTTCAGGCTCTACTGAGCATGCTTGTAAAAGACTTTGAGAAAGCAGAATGGTGGTGAGTTTTAGGTCAATTCTTGCATTTTGTTTTGTTCTTTACGTAATGCCTTTAAGGAAGAAAGTCAATGTTTTTCGTTCTGTGGCCCTAAGGAATTGGAAAAGAAAGACAGAAGCCTAAACTGACATCCTCAGACATGTAGATTAGTTTTGTCTGATGGTGATTTAATGGTCTTAGTTAAGCGGGAAGACAAGGCTGACACACCACCCGATTTAGTTTATTGGTTTTCATTTTGCAGAATCTAGTTCTGGGCCCTTTAGTATGAGCCAGTCCCTCATTTTATTGTAGGACACCTGAGAGTGGATGGTAGACACGCAGGTTCTAATCACGGTCTGCCGGAGCCAGCTGTGTCCCCTGCGAGTCAGATGGCCTCTCTCTGTCTATAATGAGTCCTTTGCCTCCATGCCTCCATTATAGAGGTCTTGTATATAATGAGCAAGCTCGTAATGAGCAGGCTCTAGACTTCTGAACTTAGCACCTGATCGTTAGGAGAGCCCTTTGCCCTTCTCCACACACTGGCACCATGGGCTTCTCTATGCAGGAGCTGTGTTCATGTTGGAACCTTGCTTCCTGCCATCCTAAGCCCTCACGTTAAATGTCTGCCTCATTGTGACCAGGTGACAAGCTTTAATAAATAGCATCCTGTTTCTCCCCTTTTCCTCTTTGGCTCTCCTCTTCCAACAGTCTTGGTTTGCAGCTACCCGTATTGGCTGCTCGTATCAAGTCAGTGGAAGGGAGGGATGGTACTCTCTGAGGCGAATGACTTCATTCATTATTTCCCAAGGGAACACTGGCAGTTTACAAAGGCCACCTCTCCTGGTATTTCAATATCTTCTACAGTCTTTGGGAAATTTTTTATTTGAAAAGAAAGAAGAACAAAAAAAAAAAGAAAGAAAGATAGTATACTGTACAAAACCTTAGAGTGTTTATAACTCCTGGGCGTTTGAGATCTTAAATTCCCTGTACCCCCAGAGATTTGGAGTAGATTAGACTATGGTGCATTTTTTGGTACAAAATGGCTTATACTGAATGCACGACTTGAGAGTAAAATCTGGTTAGGTTCTTGGTATTGGGATAATACACAAACTTTGGAGTTTAATATAGCCTTCGTTACTCAGCCTTGAAACTGCATGATGTCTTGGCTCTAAAGGTTTCTTGTGGTAGTGAGACAAGAGTCCAGTCAAGTCTGAATTTACTCTGGCCACAGTCACAAAAGAATGAAATGTCACGGGTGATTTTTTTTAAAGGCTGTAATAAACTTTTCCCTAAGTAGTAAATCCCTAAACTATTTTTATGCAATGCTGGAATGTGTAACCAGCTGGCCAGAAAATCCTATTGATTTCTCCTACTTAAATATTTTAAATTTGTCTCTTTATCCCTGTTCTTTAGATCTCCTGTTCTTCTCTATCATTGTCCAAAGGGACCAGATTTCCAGGCCAGGCCATTGTTCTTGGGTCCAGAAAGCT